GGGCAGCCTCGAGTCCCGCCGGTGCTCGGTCGTCGCGGAGCCGCCTCAGGCCGACGCGGGGTGGGGTCTGGAGCGGGCTAGTAAGGTGGGGAAGAACACTAGCTTCAGGCAGTTTTCTTGTCTGGAGCCGGCTGTCTTGCTTGCCTGGAGGATTGCGTGAGTAACCAGGGCTCGGTTCTCCAGTGAAATGGTGAATTCGCAGCTGCCACCTTTTTAACGGGTTTTGTAGAGTAGGCAAAGGTGTCAAGACCGAGTGGTGGATGTTTTAAAGTGATTTTTTTCAGGGCAGGGAGGAAACTGAGATCAGCTGGGTTCTGTTCAAGGGGACTATCTTCCTGCCTTCCCTGCCAGGAGCATGAGTATTTCACACTTGGAGAATCTGATTTTTTGTTGACTGCATGGGCTATGTAGGTATTAAAGATATCAAAACATCTAGTGGATTTGCAAATTTTGCAACTGGCATGCACAGTGTGTGAAGTGTGACAGATGATTCACAAATCATGTCACATGTTCCAGTCCCCAGGCAGAAATGCCCACAATGTGCAAAAACCCACAGGTGTGTCCATACCTTAGGTGTGTCATGTTGGCCTGCTGTCTGGTCTAGCCATATGTTTTCTTTCTGGGGTTTTTCTTAGTGTTCCAGCTCTATTGTGGGAGTGGGTTTATATATGTATATATAAAATATATTCATATATAGCTGTACACTTTCTTAGTAGGTCATGTTATTACAGTGTTTCACGTTTCGTATAGCTACACGTTAATTGGGATAATGACAAAAGTGCAAGGTGTCTCTGTTAGGTCAAGCGCTTATAACCTACTGCAGTGTTTTGCAGGGGTTTGGTTTTGTTTTGTTTTTTTCCACCTGGAAGTCCTAGTGGATTTTTGTAGGGATTATGAGACCAAATTCACTTCAGAATGCTTGATTGTACCATTTAGGATTTCGGAACAAGTGACAAAATGTTGTACTTAAAATCGGTTGTTCTTGTTGCTGTGCTCAAAGTAATTGCCTTAAATAAAAAGTTGAAAATTTCCTCTGAAAAGAGGAGGGAGAGGGCTGATCTTGTAACTCCTGCTAGGCAGTGACCTAAATTTTCAGGTCCTGCCTAATAATTATCTTTCTAAACAGGGATCAAAGACTCCGATGAGAATTTGGAAAGCAGTTATGAAATATGGATTGCAGGTCTGGGCACCAAAAACATCTTTTCTACTTGTTAATGTAATTTTTCTTTCTGTGTTCCGTATAGGGCACTCATATTTCCTCTTCTGATCCGGGAAGGAAAGCCAACACCGTTTTTCACTTTTGTACTAGCACTTCTGTTCTGTATTTACAATGGATACTTGCAAGGCCGAAGCTTAAGCAACTATGCAAAATACCCTTCAACCTGGTTAAAAGAGCCTTTTTTTGTTATAGGTAAGCTAAAACATGCTGTGAGAACATCAGTATTAGTAGAAGGTTTGCTTTTTCCTTATAGCTTCTTATTATATTTCGATTATGGTTTTATAGTATCTTCAATCACATTTTGTAATTTTTATCATTGTTATTCAGTATTCAAAATAACTTTAATTGTCGTTTGCTGTAACATAGCTGAAAGTATCTTAACTTTTTTTTATTGTACACCTTTGAATTGAGACTTATTCTTACAGCTTCAGGATTACATGAGCTTATTGCCATGTTTATTCTGTAAAACTGTGAAAGAGAGTCATGTACTCTTTCAGGATAAGAACTAGGGGCCTCAAATGAAACTAGCAGCAGACAGATTTAGAACGAACAAAGAGATTTTCTACATAAAGTATAGATTAAACTGAAATTCCTTGTTTCATGATATCATAGATATATCTATCTTCCTAACCATATAAACTTTTAATATTTCCTGCACTGCATCTGCATAAGGCAGATGTCTCCATGGCTACAAAATGTTTAAAAAGTTATCCTAACAATTAAGAAGCTGAACATTTCTGGCACACATAGCATGTGTTGTAATGTTACTAACTTGCTTTTCTAATGAGACTATTATTGCAATAAATACTTGGAAACCAAGTTTGGTAGGACTCTTCAGCAGTTAAGCCTAATGATCCTTTCTTCTATTCTTTCTAATTTTTTTTGTAGTGCTGGTCAATATGGTTGGTTTGTTTGTTTTTTAAGCCATAACAGTGGATATTTATAACTACTGCTCTGTATTCATCCCAGCTAGGTACCTCTAAACATCCAGCTCCAAGCACCTACAGTTCATGCTTGTAGTTTTGGTCACTCAGATGCAGAATGCCTCTGTTGTACACTGGATATGTTCTGAACAACTGGACTACTATGCTGTAAATTTTCAAAAACATCTGGCAGTGTCTTATACTTCTAGTCAAAATGACAAGAAAATTGAACAGAGGATTGGGGAGGGGGAAACAATAGCAGAACACTCATTTGCCAAGGACTGTTATGAAATTATTCCTTCAGTCTATAAGAAGTTATGTGAGGAATAGAAATATGTCTTAAAATAGCAGACAAACAAGGTTCGGTAGCTGGAAGTCAAAGTGAACTAAATCTGTTGTGAAAATAAAGATTTGGAGGAGTTAGCCTGATTAACATCAGGGTGGAGGGTTTCTAAAACCTGTTTTCCGTCTGTGGATCCTTAGTATACAAGTTGAATCTCTGTTTACAAATGCTTAGGAGTTAACCCTGGGAAAGCAATAGCTTGAATCTACACTAGCAGTATATTTGAAGCAGCAATATGATTTTTACGTGGTTCCCTCACAGTCCCTGTGCACTGTGTGTTAGTTTAATTCAGAGAGCAGTGAACCAGTTTTCAAAAAAAAAAAAAAAAACTACTTCACATGCAGTACATTAGTTTGGAATATAATGATTTTATTTTATCAACTGATGTGGGACCATTACCATCACAATTTTCTAGTATGTATCTTACACACATGTGCCACTAAACAGCTTGTGAACTCATCAAGAGCACCCATGGTACCTTGAAATGGTAAGCGCTATATACAGGGACAAATGCCCTCTGCACCTGCCTATGTAACCATCTACTGCCAGTTACTCCCTGTCAGCCTTGTGTTCTTCTGTAATTCATTCACACTTCTTAGGAACTCCTTCCTTTCTCTGCCTGTTTTAAACTTCATTGATCCCTCTGCAGCATGCCTTTGTCTTTTCTTACTCCTCCTTTTTTAAGTACCTGCTCAAACACTAATTTTGATAGCTAACTGTTCTGTGTCTCATAACAATTTTGTCATTGCAGCAGCTCTGCCGAGCACAGTAACACCTATAAATCAGTAGGTGTTGGCAACAGAACATTGCCTTCAAGTTTGTTGTGAAAGGCTTACCATCTGGCAGTCAGACAACCAAACACGCGTTCCACCTCCGCTCTCTAACAAGAATAGACATGATTAATCGACGGCATGGGCAAAGTCTCCATCTGGATATGGTCCCATGACTGGAGGACATGGGATATTTAGTATCTGGCATCTGGATGCTATGAATGATGTTGTCTCTTCTTAGACAATATACTGATAAAGGAAAAAATTCTCTTGAATTTAATGCTCTATAGTCAGCTCATCTGTATTGCATGGTGCATCCTGTGGATCAGAGAATCTACTAGAGTGCACTGTGGCTCCCTTCCTGTCTACATACCAGACTTCCCTTAGATGGAAGCCAAGTCACAGTGCGTACCTAGCTACTCTTTGTAGAGTGCAGACTTAGTATTCAGCCATAATGAGCATCTGAGAATAAGGGTAGGCAAGTACAATGCCTCTGAAGGACAGCTGTGCAGAATATGATTATTCAGCACTTTAGGAAAAGGTAGTCTTCAAACAAAAGAGCTATGCTGTGAGAAAAGCCTGCATTGATATGTTCATTGCTCTTTATGAATAAATACTTGGCTGTTTCTTTCTGAGGTGCAGTAGTTTTCAACTAGGAGAGGTAAAAAATGCTTATCATTTAACTTGAATTCTAGAGTAATTGGGCACTCAGTGCAAAAAGACTGGAGCTTGCTTCGTCTGACATGTTCTTAGTAGTTCATATACTATTTTATAAATTTCAGATTTTCAACCTAATACCTTCCAGGTATATGACAAGTACAGAGAATACAAATAACATTTTCCAAAATTATTGTGGCATTTCAGACTAATGAGAAATTAAATCCATTTTCTTCTATTTAAAAAATGATTATTCTTCTTAGATATGATATTAACTTTCAATATTAATTTCTTTATCATGCTTATACTAACTTAAGTAAATTAGTAGAAATTGTTACATTTAGGAAGAATTAATCTGTGTGCTTGTTAAGAAAGTAATTTGAAGAGACTGCATGGGTAGAGGCAATACTCACTTCTCATCTAGTTGCATAAATAGCACCTCTAAAATTTGTCAAGGTACTACTCAGTCTTTTCTCCTCTAGCAATTAGCAAATTGATAGTCATCAGTGCTAAGAGAAGCAAACAGTTTGAATATTGAAGTACAACACAGTGCTGAATTTAAAATATTTTACTTCATTTTTGAGTATATGCAAAATATAGCTTTATAATGATATTTTATAGCTGAAAATATCAGACCTTTCCAGACCTTTCAACAGTCTTTCTTCAAAAAATAACTATGTAGATAGACCTTCCATCTACATCTGGTAAGCATTCTATTTCCTGTGTGGAAGGAGTAAATTCTGACTACTCTTAGCTGGCTGAATCTCTTTTTGGGAGGAGTTAGGCTGTGCTCTTCCCTTATGCATCAGGGAGGTCTTTCATATTTGTCCAGGTATAACAATGATAAGCAGCAACCAAAAACAAAACAACTTGCCTAGTTTTAAAGAGGTAGATAGTGCTAGAAGAACTGAGAAGTCATAAAACACAGGTCTTCCCCAGCCTGAATTATACTCTGATTAAGTTCCTCAAAGAACAGTGCAGTATAAACAAGAATCACAGAATGGTTGAGGTTGGAAGGGACCTCCAGAGATCATCTAGTCCACCTGCCCTGTGCAAGCAGGGTCATCTACAGCAGTTTGCCCAGGACCCTTCTGAATATCTCCAGCGAAGGAGACTCCACAACCTCTCTGGGCAACCTTCTCCAACGCTCAGTCACCCTCACAATAAAGGAGTTTTTCCTCATGTTCAGACGAAGCTTCCTGTGTTTCAGTTTGTGCCTGTTGCCTCTTGTCTTGTCACTGGGCACCACTGGGAAGAGTATGGCCCTATCCTTTTTACATTCCCTCTTCAGAGTTTTATACATACTGGTAAGATTCCCCCTCAGTCTTCTCTTCTCCAGGCTGAACAATCCTGAAATGAGTACAGGAATGAATACATGAATAAATAAATGAATACATACAAAGTGTGCAGCAAGTAGGGTTTGTTCTTTGTGTATGTTTGTGGGGGTGTTTTGCTTGTGTGTGGTTTTTTTTTTTTTAATGGAAGAGGACAGCGTGACCAGAAAATCAGACAAAGCTTGAGGGTCTGGTTCCAAAAGAAGTAAGCCTGCTGTGACTTTCAGTACTGAGTATTCAGTCAGCACTTCCTGGTTCAGTATCTAACTTCTACCTAGTAAAAGTGGGATCACAGCTGACAAGTGACAAATGACTGAAATTATTCATCTTTGTTCTGTGGATCATGTAATATGGACAGCATTCGCACTGATCTACTATTTGCCAGGTTGACGGATCTGTAAATTTAAAGTGCTGTGCAGATTTGGTAATCCTTTTGTTTACCTCAGAAGCCTGAAACTATTAGCATTCAGTCTCTGTGGAAGATTTCTTAGACTACGTTTCAGGTTTAGATCACAGAAAAGGGAGTAACACTTAGTTGAAGTTGAGACAATAAGACAAACTTTTCCATGATCTTAGGAAAGTACAACCTTTTTTCCTCTGTCTTTGTAGAATGTTATTAAAGGAATGTGATGCAAGTTCAGTACTCACGGTACTCAGCAAGGATAGGTTTAGCAAGACTAAATCTAATTTCTGGAAGCACATGCTTACACTGTCTTTGCTAGGTCCTGCGTCTGGATCTGCTGTATCTTAATGCTCCTTTTATTGTGCAGAAGCTATCTGCTGTGAAAACTCTAGCATGTTGTTAGTGAAAAAGAAGAAATTAAAATATGTCCTTTCAGTAGGAATCAGAATGGCAGATTTTTTTCAGTTTTGTTTAAAACGTTGGTCTATTTGATTTTCTGTGTGGAAGGTAAGTAAATATACATACCTTTTTATAACTCTAGCAACATACGAACATAAGTATAAAACTTTATAATCACAGTCCTTTTCTTGTCTAGAGACCTATTAATTGCTGTGAGCGCTACTGACAGAAGAGCTGCGTGGGATTGTGATTGTGCATGATGTCACTAGAATTGCCTGTACTGCTTACGTTAATACTGCTTTGAGATAATATGTTGGCTAATACGTAATATAAAGTATATGACTGTAGGTTGTTTTCTAATCAAGCACTTCAGCTCAGTGTATTAAAGTTACTATTTTAAATATTTCTCTTCAGGTTTTCTAGGGTGGTTGATTGGCATGGCAATCAATATTCATTCTGATCATATTCTCAGAAATTTGAGAAAACCAGGGGAAACTGGTTATGCGATACCAAGAGGTGAGTGAAAAATGTTACAGAAACTCACATAGCAAAAGAAGGCCTTTCAAAGCTTGGTATATTTATATTAGGGGAGATAAGGTAGGATTAGAAGTAGTAGTTTGTCTACATTAAGAAGTAATTTCACAGTTTGGGAAACATTTTTCTCTTAAGCCAAGTATTGTAACGAGTGAGTTACTCGATATCATGTGGTTTGCACAAACCTTTGAATTTCTTGGCCAGTTGTGATTCTAATTTTAAAAGTGGTACAAATCTAACACAGCATTGCACAACTTTCAGGAGGCTCAGCAAGTAGGTAGAGATAAAAAGACGTAAGTTAGCGCCCCACTGTGGGAGAAAGGCCGAAGGTACTCAGATACATAAGCAATTGTGTGTGCTATGGCTGTTGATTCCCCAAGATCTATCCCTCTTCAGACATAGGACACAAGGAGCAAGGATTACTGTGGTAAGGAAAATACAGGGGAGAGAGGACAGAAATCCAAAGGAAGTTAGGCTTTGTTAGTTTTGTCCTTCATGGGGCAATATAAAATATGGAAGGACTTCTTATGAGGCCTGATGAAGGGTGAAGGCCTATTGACGCTCCTAGAAGCATTAGACTATTCCAGGCATTTTATACCCTCTGAGAATATGAAATAATAGTTACTTCTGACTTTTGCAGTTTCTCTGAGGTTTTCCTTTAGCTGTTGCTTTTTCTTGGTTTTTAGTGAGATTCTTGTAAATAAAGCTAGAACTGCTAGATATGTAAGACAGTAGATTGTTATGTTTTCACTCAGTAGATTGGTTTATAACTTTAATAGATGGAAATAATGACTGTTTATGCATAATTGGCTGTCAAACATATCTAACACGGACTGCAATTCACTTATTTCCCTGAATGGTAAGATTGAAGAGGTTAAGGTAAGCTTTATTTAGACCTATCTGGAGATAGGAACAGAAGAGCAACACATCTTAAACCGGAGAATAAATTTGCCTGAGTAAAAGGCATGGCAACTTGAATTCATAATAATAATACTGTGTTTATCATTAACTTAACTTCTGAAGTACCAGTAGTTAGGATATAGTATTTAATTTCTTTATTCTAATGCCAAATGTGTTTTCTGGCGCTCTGAGAACATATTTTCTATTTTTACATTTTAAAAAGGTTGAGTTCATGATCAAAGAGTCAGTTTGGTATTATTGTAAAGCAATTTTCTACAGAGGCATGAAATTGCTTCTGATATTAGTAAATCTGCTTTCCTTTTTCATAATTTAAAGAGGAAAATTGGAGCTGGAGAAGATCTGTGTTTTAGAATGAGGTCAGAAGTGATCTTTCATAGTACAACTTGAACTGAAAAATACTTCTTCCCCTGCCTTTAAAAATTAATTGAAAAATGGATGACATAGCTCTTATTACACTTCCAGTAAAAGTAGCTTTGAAGCTCTCCTTGATTAAGGTGCTATGGAATAAATCTATCTTGCTTTTTAGGAGGGATGTTTGAATATGTCAGTGGAGCTAATTTTTTTGGAGAGATCGTGGAATGGTTTGGATTTGCCCTTGCCTGCTGCACCATTCAAAGCCTTGCGTTTGCATTGTGCACACTTTTCATCTTGGGTTCACGGGCAAAACAACACCACCAGTAAGTATTTGTATGTTATAATTTCTGTTGTCTCTGCCACATTTCTTTTCCATTTTATAAACTATGCCTCATCCTGTAGGGATGTTACAGAACAAGTCTTGTGAAAGAGTTGGCTACTGCTGTGTTGAATAATACAGAATACTCTCCGAGTGGTGTTAAATTCTGCAAGATTTCAACACGGGGGTATTAAGGATAAGGAAAATGAACACACAATGTACTGTGAGGTCAAAATAATGACTTTTCATTAAATGAACACGATCCATTCTGGGCCTGAAAAGATTATAGACTCATTTAGGAAAACTGTCTTTTCAAAAAATCGTTCTATAGGCTTCCATTACAGTCACAATTTATAATCTATCAAGTGTATGGAAAAATCTGTGACAACAATTCTACTGCCTAATAAATGATATTTAATAAAGTCTCTGTTCTTGTAAATAAACCATCAGACTGATAATGTACTGTAATCACATACTGACTTTCCTTCTGCTAACAAAAGAATCAAGTTTGAGGAAAAACTTGTTTCTTGGAAGAGTTCTCTTTAAGGAATAGCACATTTAAGATCATTTGAACACCTTAATCTTATAATTTAAGTATTAAACATTTTGGTTATTTTCAGCTTCCTGCTTTGGTTCTCACTCTGAAACTCAATTGCATAAGAAATAAACCTTAATTTCGGTTGGACTAGGAGCCCAGAACTGGACATGATATTCTAGACGCAGCCTCTCAGCTGCTGAATAGTGGAGAATAAGTGCTTTCCTTGACTTGATGGCTGTGTACTTGTTAAAGCAGCCTGGTAGGCAGTTAGCTTTCATAACTGCAAGGATCCATTACTGACTCATGTTCAGCTTGTTCACCGGGGATGTCCACGTCCTTTTTTGCAGCGCTGCTACTTAGCCAGTCAGTCCCCAGCCTGCACAATTGCATAGGACTGTTGCACCCCAACTGCAGGAGTTTGCATTTTTTTGTAGTTTTGCTCCACTGTCTCAAGTAACTCCCCTTCGAGGAGCTGTAGGCAGCGATAACAAGACCCCTTAGGCAGCTTATTACCAAACTAAGTAATCCCAGTCCTTAACCTCTCCTCATATGTTGTGTTCTTCAGGCTCAGATTCTGTGGTTTGTTTCCTTCCATCTTAAGCCTTGATGGAACTCTGAGTTCTTTATTTACAAAAAATGATAGAAAGCTAAAGATTGTTAAAGGAAATAGTTTGCATTAAAACGGGAAATCCATAAAAATGGAACAGGGATGCAAAAAAACAGAACTAAAGACTATCAAATTCATGTAAGTGAAGTATTTTGGTATTGGTTGTTCAGTTTGAAAAACTTGGAATAAATGATTAAAGAAGCTAACTGATGTAATGCTGATACCTCACAGCTGCTGGTAATCATTCAATGCATGTCTCCCTGTAGAAGGATCCACAGGACTTCCCCTGCACATATTACCATTCAGCTAGGGCGCAAGCACTTACTCTAGATTGAAAGCGAAAATCTGCAGAACACCAAAAGCAATGCTTTAGTTTTACAGTCATCTACTGTTTCTTCTCTGCTTATCCCAGCTTTGGACTTTCAATTATTGTCAATATGCATACTTCCACGTTAGTGGAGTCTCGATGAAAGTAGTTCCTATTTTCCATGTTAAAGTAGAAGAACAGGAAACATTCGAAAATGACAGGAAATGTATTTGTCAAGTAAGGTGATCAGAGAAGGAATAATATTTAGTAGTGCTATAAATGTGTTCTTTTGAAACTGTCTGGATTTGAAAATAGTGAAAGTGTTTGAGGGGAATTAGCAGTAGGGTTAGTCTGATGTCTGACTAGATTATCCGTGTCCTGACTGGAACTGAAGATATTTCAATCCAAAACAGGACTGTTGTTCCAATATGTAAAGTATCTCTTGCTCCTACATGTAGTTGTTATAAAACTGATTGCATGTTATCCCCTTGGCTATTATTTTATTACTCTGCTTCTAAAATAGGGTACATTACATTATACATTTTACAATAGTACGCCATTCCTTCCCTGGCTGCTCTTATGACATCTATTAGTTTGGTTTCCCATTCCTGGCAGCAGTAGCTTTGCTTTGCTGTAGCTAGAGAGTAGATTTCATTAGGATGAGTGTGACACCCTACCCAGAGTAGGTTCTAAACACTTTTTTTTTTTTTTGGTTTAGAGCCAAAGAAATACAACAATTAATTTGAAAGCATTGTACAACTACTTACTTTAATTTCTTTGACAGCATTTTGAAGATGCAATACTAATCAGATTTCTATCTTTGTTTTTCAGATGGTACCTTGAGAAATTTGAAGACTACCCAAAGTCACGAAAAATTGTGATTCCATTTGTGTATTGAGCTGTGCTTTAAATACGAACTGGTTCTGGTGGTAATGGTGTTCTTGAAACGTCTACCTTCTGGAACAGCTAACGCTTTACAAGCGTTAGCCAGCTAATAGTCTCTGATGTTCGGTGTGACAAAGCCTTTGCATCACTGGTGCTATTAATTACTGCTTTTCTTCTTAGAAAACCAAAAAAAGAAAAACCAAAATCTTTTGGACACAGTGATAGGAACAGAAATGCTTTTCCAACTCTGGAGCACCATTCTAAATGCATACTGTACCATACTGTACAGGACTTCTGTTGTTTCCTTTTTCCGCCCATACAGTCTTCTGTTATTTTCATCTGATCTAGCCATATTGTCCTGAGGTCTGTGCCATGAGCCCAGTCACCCTTATATAATTTGGATGGTGTTTTGCGTGCTGTTTTGCCTGCATACACAAATGAGGTTGATTTGTTTTGCCTTCCTAATCCCTCCTCCCTCCCCTCCGTGCTTCTGGGAGAATCTAATGCAAACAAGGATATTAGATGAACATTTATGCTCTTAGGTGACACACTCTGTTATTCCTCCTCTTTGTACACTTAGACGTAGACACTGCATAGATAACAATGCCATTTATACAGACAGTCATAGTGGTATCTTCTCCGAATAAGAGAGAAAGGTTTAGTCATCTGCGTTTCAAATTTGGTAACAATTTCAGATAAGAATCAAAATGTACTCTCTCACCCAGCACTTTGGCAGGACGTTCCTTATTTGGGATGCTTAGGCTGGTTTAGTACTGTTAACAATTCTGTGTCACGTCTTCTAACTTTATACAAAATCTTAGGATTTTTATAGACCACTCTTACTATGCTGCTTAAAAAAAAAAACTAGTCTCTTCCTTCTCTTGTTGATAAATGATCTAGATGGTTTTATATTCCAAAAACCTGGAATCTTTTAGTATTTGTTTCTTGCTTTATTAATGACAATTCTCACACCCCCACTTTTTATTCGAAAGACTCCAGAGGGGTGTCAAAAACATGATGGTAGCCCAAGTATGCTGACTTTTGAGTTTTGGACACATCTGTGTCCTTTGTATGTTTGTGATGTTAAAGAAATCTTCCTGTAGAAGAATTCTACAGGAAACTTTAAAAGAAAAAAAAATGCTGCTAATGTACTTTGGAAATCTATGAGAATCAAGCTTATGCTGAGTGTTTTCTGACGTATTTACATGGTGTATGTTGGATTGTGTTCTTCAAAACAAGCTGCTAACAGAATTTTGCCAGATGTTTACTTTTCCAGTGTGGTATTGGATTAAGCTTTGTCCAAAGCTCAGACTTCTGCCTCTGACACTGATTGACACTGCTGTAATAGTCAAAGTAACATATCTGAGGGAAGAGCTGATTTTAAAAAATAAAGTGCGTTCAGGAACTGGGCACTGAAGGACTTTGCTACCCAAGTTTCTACTTAACAATTATTTCTTCTTCCTGTCCTGCCTCCCTCCTGTCATGTTTATATGGTAATAACTGCTCTGAAATCCTGGCTATCATTAAGGATTTATTCGGTGATATTTAAAAAAAAGGGCAGTAAAATTTCTATCATTAACTCACAGAAGCGGTCAAGGGGAGAAATGGAAAGAAACTGTCAGTCATGCAGGGATGATTTATCCTACTGCTGAGCTATCAGCCTGCCAGTCGCACTTCATAGTGAAGTTCCTGCTGCTGTTTAGTTGGGGATGACTGACTGCGCTCCCAGCCACCATTCAAGAAGTCCAGCTTAGGGAGAACCTAGGAATACCCATTCCTTTGAAGCCTGGTGTCAGTTGGTGCATTACTTGATTCTCAACTTGTGTGATCTTTTCAGACTGTTGTGTTTACAGATTTCCTTAAGTGTTTTACAGGGAGTTTGAGGCTTCCTCTGTTTTTATCATCACACTGTGATTTAATATTTGATCCTAGCTGTTTTAGTGAAACTCAGTCATCAAGTTCCCTGGGGAAGGGATGGTGAGGAGGATGATCTACCCCTTAGTAATAAAATGGAGCTCACAGATAATAAAGTTTATTAGAATCACTTAAAATTCTCTTCAAAACATTCTTTAGAAAACTAGTCTTGCATATACAGGTATGTGGTACCTTACCACGTTATTGTGGTGATTTTTAAATATTGGTATCTAAATCAGCCAGCTGTCAAAGTCTATATTAGAGGAACAAAATGCACATTACAGGATTTGAAGAGCAATTCCAATACCTAATTTAGGTGTTTACATACTTTATTGTTAATTAATAAGCACATATCTTTAATATATATCTTTGGGGATAATTGTTAAAAAAGCACTAAAGGGACAAGCAACTGGTAAAAAAGATCTGGCTGTGAAATTTAATCTCTAATCCCCATATTAATTATTTTTGTTCTATTGCACAGCCTTTTATGAAAAGGCAAAGATTCTTTTAGTAGTAAACAATTGAGAGAAACTATTTAGTATCCAGTTCCTGAAATAAGGAAAGACTTCCAGCTCCACAGACAGCAGTGCTTTGCTAAAATTACCAAATACAAATGCCTAATCTGACTATTACAGCTGCTGTTTCCTACAAAAGAAGAAAAAAAAAAAGCATACCTGAGAGTGAATTGTTTAATGCCCTTTTCAGTATAGAAGTTGCAGCAAGTAAGGTACTGGAACAGCGCATCATCAGAATACCACCCTAACTGCTATTATTGCTCTCTTACTGAATCTTCTTGCTCGCCTTTCCTCTGCAATAATACATAGTAATGAGTTTTACTTCTTGATATGAATGAATACAAGAGGAAAAGATGTTATACATGCACATATATAAATATATATATATACATGACAACAGCAACATGCAACAATTTTATTTGTTCTTTTTGCAACATCAATTGCCAAAAAATTCTGTAGGCAATATGTACTAGGAGTCAAAAATTTGTATGTAAACACATTTTTAGCTTTTATTGTGACAAACAGCTACAAGTAATCTTGCATGTTTAGTAACATTAATGATACCTTGCCTGCATAACTTCATCCAATATAACATGAAGTTGAAATCCTTAAGAATAAAAATGCTCTCATTTTTCCCATTATTATTATATGGTACATGTTTTGAACCAGATACATGCAATTATGTGTGTGGTTATGGGAGGGGAATTTTGTAAGAGGAAAATATATACATTTCCTATGATCTAAGATATCATCTCCTGATCTTTGATCGGAGTAATTCTGCTGAATTATTTTTATCTCAGAATGATGTAAAAATATTTCCTTAAATTCAGAGGATGCGTAGCTGCCTTCATTCAGCTGTGTGTAACTATATCGAAGTTTACAGAAAATGTGTACTGATGCCTCAATTTTGCTGCTAAATATTTACCTTGAGTAAAAAGGTTAGCTAGTTTTGTCTGTGCAGTGTTAACTTCTGGGTCATGTACAGCAGGATGGAATATATGCAATACTCTGGGAGCTTATCAAAGTTCTTTCTCTTTTACTTGTTACAGAAAAGGAAAAGCTGAGTTCTATGGGATGTGAATGTCAGTGAATTTAGAAATTCTGGTTAATTGGGATTATTTAAAAATAACAGAAGGAAATTGTTTGGTTTTAGTGATTCTATTTTATATTCTCATTATATTATGCTGCTGAAATATTCCATAGTGAAAATACAGAATTTACTTGGGCAGTTCATCCTTGCATTTAAAGACCAAACTATACTGGTGAAGAGCATCATATAATTAACTTGGTCAAATCCTATATATAGTTTTTGAACAATATCCCATTTATTTATCATTCTCTACTAGTCCCTCCCCCCCACCGCTGTTTCAGGAGTTTTGACAGAATTTACCTGTCAGAAAACATCTGATATTGCAAAAGTCATTCTCTTAAATACACCTAGCATGAAAATGAACTTTGTATACTGCCCTTTCCAGAAGGAGAAAATATGTATGCTTTCTATTGAGTAGTAATAGCTGTAGCTATTTAAGGAAATATACCTCTTTTCAGAGCGTCTATATCTTTGCCAAAGATCCCCTACTAATAAAAGGTGTTTTGTGGTCTGTGTTGCTTGAGTACCTTTTTTTTTAACAGTTAGTAATCATATATAATTATAACCTGTGAAGGTTGGCTAAGGCTTTTGTAGCAGTAATTTCAGTATCCCAAATGAGGAACTGAGGACTCTAGTAGTTAGGTTATATTAGAATACCCAGAGGTGTATAGGAACTTGATTAGATGTATTTATAAAGGTTATTAAGTGTCAGAAGATGAATGTGTTTGTTTAGTGATACATTCTTAATTACACAGAAAGACCTGTTTACACTTGCCTGTAGATTCAAGAATAACAGAAGCAAGGGTGGAGGAATACTCTTTTGGATTGCCCTTTTGCTGCTAGTTCAAGTGAACTCTTCATTTGAAGCAACTATAGAACCTGGCAT